AAAAAAATCTTCCTTGAATTTCTGTCTGGAGTAAAGGGAAACCAGGCTATCTTTAGCATTTTTATCTGTCCTAAATCTATCCAAACAGATACTTTGGGGAGCAGTAGAGATAAGCACTTAATTGCTAGAAATGTCCTTGGCAAAGAAAGATCATAATAGGAACTGAACAGGAAAAGAAAGAAGGAGACGAGAGGGCGAGAGACTGAGACAGAATGGCAGAGAGAAATGAATGCCTCCCCCTGGTCAATCATTTCGATTCCACCGTGGCTGGTAGTGAAGGAAAGTCTTGCAGTGCTGTAAATAGGAACTGAGCAGTCAGAAAACACATCCTTTGGTCCCTTTACACCCTCAAATTCCAACCCAGTGTCCACATCCCAAACCTTCCTCCCAACACTGAGAGAAAAAAAGTGATACGAAATTTATTCTTCTAAATAAATCTGAGACCACTTCAGTTGTAAGGTTCTCAAAATTAAACGAAATAATTGTTGCATAATGGAGGATTATCGGCCCCAACTGGAAAAGGAGAGGACAGCTGGGTGTAGTAACCACTTTGAAAATCTTGACTCAAGCATCATGAGCTTGCTACCATTCACTTATTCCCGCCCTCCTCCCTTCCTCCTGCTCTGAGTAGCTGACGCTCTGATGGGAGAGAGATATCTAGTACCAACAGCTAGACAGAAGGGTGGACAGTGGTACCAGCCACAGAGGGAGCCTGAGAAAGCATCCCCACCCCAGCTCTCTCAAAAGGGGCAGAAAATGTTGAAGCAGTTGAGAAGCTATCAATAGTATTTAACTCCTGTTTTTTCTAATTCAATTTTTTTATTATCTCTCCTGAAGCGCAGGTAGAACATAAATCTAGAACCTGGTTAGGGGCATGAGAAAAGGCTTCAGGACATGGGCAAGACCTTGGTCACTAGGCTGGTTCATGCTTGGTGGAGAGGACAGGCGCTGCCTTGTTCATGGCAAGGAGGACAAGCAAAAGAGCAGCTGTTCTGGTTACTATGTGCCTGGCACTCGCTCACCTGCCAGAGGCTAACCGTGTGAAGTCCCCTGTTACAGGTGAGAACACTGAGGCTGAGAGAGGTTAACAGCCACCCAGGGACACACATCTAGATGGTAGTGGACGGTGGAGCCAGGTCTCTCGGACATGAGACAATCCACCTACACGAAGATATTTAATAAATGAGGAGGGGACGAGGTGGGATGGGGGCACTGAACCAAGGGAGTTCCAGACGAAGGGGACAGGCGTGCAGAGTGCACAGCTGATTCAGGGAACAGGAGCCCCAGGGATGTCTAGACACAGGGGGGGACAATGAGGTTGGGGCCCTTGATGCCCGGTAGCTTGCATGCACCAGTCATTACTTCCTACCTCCAGGTTTCTGGAAGAGGTGAAGTATGAGGACAAGGTTGGCTTTTCTCTCTAGAGAATGCAGCAAAGGTTTAGTTTTGTCTTCAAGTCTTGCAAATAGCAGGATTCCAGTTTCCTCGTAGCATCCAAGGTGGGGGTGGCTCGGGTGTCCCCTGACATCTGTCATCAGTGAAGTCCCTGAGGCCTGGGAGTCAGGGCGGAGCTAGAAGTGGCAGCTTGGACCTAAATACAGTAGCCGCTCTTCAGGTCAGCCTCTCAACCAGGAGAACCTGGTCCCGCCCCAAAAGGCCAAGAATGCTTGGCCAAAGGGCAAACATGCTCTGGGCGCTCAAACTTGAAAATATGTCACATCTGGCCTAAACAATCAAGAAAGCCCTTCTATGCAAAACAGAATGTCCCGAGAGAGATGGGTCCTCCTAGACTACCCACCTGGAGGTCCTCTGCTTTCCAGGAGGGACAAGTCAAACACGACTTAGAATCTCATTATACCTCCTTAAAAATCAGCCCACGCTCCTTAGGCCTGAGGCCGTCACCCCCAGGACAGTCCCTCATTCCCCCTCATATGCAGTGCGTACTCCGCATTCTCCAAGAGGCCAGCTCTTGGGAGGGGACAGAAGCCCCGTGGACCCTTTGTGGGGAGACAGGCATCTGAGCAGTTTGAGAACCGGCCTCCCTCCTAAGGAGAGCTAACATGCTGGGTCCCAGTGGGGTCAGCACCTGCACAGGAAACTACTTAGGGACATTTGAATGCCCTGGACTGTCAGAATTCACTTACTTTAGGCAAACTCCTTATAAGGAAATCCCTTTTTAGAATCAGAGAATCACAGGATTTTAGAGATGAAAAGCTCTTAGTGTTTGTCTTGTGTAGTCCCCATCTCAAACCACACTCAGAGGAATCAAGCGTTCCTGAAAGATACTGCCCAGCATGGGGCTAGGCAGATTTGCTCGGTGAAAGGATTCCTTTGAACACCATCTACCAGGCAGAGCAAGGGGCACTCAGTCGGAATGCGCAGACGGTGTATTTCCATAGGGACGAGCTAGCCCCCAAATGCTAATACTGCAGGCCCCCGGGGAGGCCCAAAGGAGAGTCTCTATGCAGCTGCTCCCTGAGCAAATTCTCCAAGGCCAGAAGTCCCCCATGAGGGTATTCAACAGGAGGCAAATGGCCTAGGCAGACCTGAAGTTCCGGAACTGAGTGTACTCCCCCCTAAGGAAATGTGGGGTCCCCAGAATGCAATTAGAGTCAACCTAATGCTTTTAGGACCAACCAGGGTTCAAGCTCCAGTGCCAGGTCTGGGGGGACACAGAGATTCCCTGTCCAGGAGGCTCCAGAGACCCCAGTGTGCAGGCAGGGAGGACCCTGGAGGCCGGCCACACACTGCAATGACACGGGGGCTCTGGGAGGACCCCACTCCGCCTGGCTTTCCTCAGCGTCCTTGGCCCCACGGCACCCACTCCACTCGCTCCCACTGGCTTTGGCTGTTTTCTGGGTGTCCCTCTGTTGGTCCCTTCCCTCATCATTTATCTTGCTCTGTCTGTCCCCTCTCTTTGGCAAGCCTACTGAAAGGCCAGCGAAGGCATGCGCTGAGGCGATGGTTCTGGGGAGGGAAAGCCCAAGAGAGATGGGAGGGGTGAGAATTCAGCAGCTCCTTGACGTAAAGTGCAAGAAGCAGGAGATGTCAAACCACGCCCAGGTCCCCAGCCTGGGTCACAGGGGACACAGCGATGTCATCAGGAAAGACAGGCGGAGGCGCAGGCTGGAGGAGACGTTTATTAAGGATATAAAACGTTAGCATGATGGTTCCAGAACGGGTTAGATCCACGGCACCTCTCACCCAGTTCTGAACCAGTCCTTCCCCAATGGTCACCCTGTTCTGTCATCACACCTTCCTGCCCCAGGGCATAACTACTTCAGAACACTTCTAGAGCAAGGACATCAAAATAGGTTATAAGTTATATTTTGGGAAGAAAAACAGATTAATTTTTTTTAGTGCTTACAGAGAAAAGCACTCTCTTGATCTGAAGGGAAAAAAAAAAGAAGAAAGATGTTCTTGACAAAATTGAGGGCAGCATTGAGAGCCCCTGAAGCTTGTTTTTCTCTTGACACTGACTTTGCAGTCAGTTATAACATGGGGCATTTTATAACCTGAAAGTTGAAGTGATTATTTAAACACTTTCCCGGGCTTGCTGGTGCATCCGCCAAGACGGAAATTCTGGGTGAAGGAAGGTAGTGAGACAGACCTGGGCTCAAACATGTGTCTGCAGCACGATGCACGTGGGCAAGACTCGCAGTCTTGGGCCTCGCTTCACCCAGATGTGACACAGTGATAGAAGTCCTTATCCTGCAGGGTCCTTGTGAGGCTCACGTAGGCGACGGTGACCATAACAGCTAGCTCTGACCGGCCTTGTCACACGGTAGGCGCCATTCCAGGATTCCAGGAGCTTTAGATGTGTTAACTCACTCACCGCACACAGCACCTCAGCAGTGAGTTATCAGAGTCCCCATTTCACAGATCCCAGGTCCTTGTAACCTCCTGAGGGACGGAAATCAGTCTCCTGGAAAGCTCCCGCACAAGACTGTTTTGAGGATAAAACAGTTTGAAATCCTAAGACGGAATCCAATACTGAGCAAATAAAAACTGAAGTGGAAGCCACGCTCACTGCAGGCACAACGGGAGAACGCCTCTCTCTGTGCCTTTCCTGCTACCAGGCAGTTCAAAGACCCAGCACCCCACACAGACACTGCTCACCTCCGAAACCACGGCACCTTCGACCTCTGGCCCTCTGACTGCTCTGGGAAATCATGTTTATTTAAATCATGGTGACTTTACCATCAGTTGACTTGCCCCAGCTTCATCCTCACTTTCCTTCTAGGTGAGAAACCCCACGAGGGCGGCACTGCGTCCCACACGCCTTCGAATCTCCATAATAGGTAGCCTGTATTAGATGCTCAACGAATATTTGCTGATTTTAAAAAATTTGTTTGAAAATACCAAAAAGCCTCAGAACGAAGGGTACTAATAAATTGGAAGTTTCTCTGCAAGAAATTCACATTTGCAGAGCAAAGAGGCCCTCCCTTTAAATAGGTTAGACATTCTAAACCAGCTGAGGGAAAGCTAGTGCTGTCTTTGGAAAAATATTGCACGTGTTGCAAACATCTTCCTGGGCTTTCACTCCAGCTACTAAGCTCAGGCGAAAGCAGCCCTGGGATCTTCTTGTTCCTGGATGACCCTCTCCAGATGGGGGATGGGGAGCCCTTTCTTTGAAAGGGGACTGAATGCAATTAGCAGGGTCATTTGCAGAAGCTTTCAATGGGAGCCATCTTTCAGAATGGGACACAGCATGGCTCCCCTCCCCCTCTGCAGGCCAAGAGCTCCGCCGCAAGCTTCCCGCGGGTTTCTATCTTGTCAGTTAGCTTTGGGGGAAGTGATGAGGTCAGCAGGGGGGAGGGAGGAAGTGGAAAGCAGCACGGAAGTTGAGGTAGGGAGAGGCAAAGAGCCCTCCTTGGTGTTCAGACTCAGACCCGCCCTTTACCCTCACTCTACAGAGCATCTCCACAAAGAACCTCACCTTAGGGCTTGGGTGGCTCTGCTTTTACTCAAATCAATGCCAGAATCAAATGAGAAGAAAGGTGTCACATGCAGATGTCCCTGGGAGAGATAACTAACCCAATTTCTAAGATGAATGGCTGATGTCTCTAAGGCGAAGACTGATGCAAAAGGAGAGAAAGGACGGGGGTAGCTCCATGGGGCACAAAGAAGGCAAGATTGTCACCTCACAGTTGGGTCACAGGCCACAGGGGAGCGCCAACCACATGTCCACAACTGAAATGGGCAGAGCTGGGCCAGCTGGTCCCAGAGCTCCTTCACCATTTGCCATTTGTCTTTTTGGGGGACCACGCCAAATTATCAACCCAAGACGTTAGTTACTGTGATGACTACACTGCTTAGGGCCCAAAAGACCGAGGTCCTGGTCCCCCTCTGCCCTACTTAGGGTGTGAATTGGGGCAACTCACATCATCTCTCTGAGCCTCAGTTTCCCTATCTGTCCCATGAGCTAGTTGCGTTTGAAGCTCAATAATGTTCCTTTCAACCATATTACCCATTATTCCATGATAGAAATCTTGGCATTGTTAGAATCAGAACGGCTTTCCCAAAAGACCCATAGCAAGGGCTAATTTTTGGTGTCAATTTGACTGGATCACAGGGTGCCTAGACATTTGCCTTAAACATTACTTCTGAGTGTGTCTTTGAGGGTGTTTCCAGATGAGATTAGCTTTGGAATCAGTGGACTCAGTAAAGTAGATAGCCCTTCCCAATGAGGGTGGCATCATCCAATACTTTGAGGGCCTGAATAGAACAAAAAGAGGGAGGAAGGAAGAATTTGGCTCTTTCTGCCTGACTTATGGGCTGGGACATTGATCTTTTCCTGCGCTTGGTGCATCTGCTTCTCAGGCCTTCAAATCCAGACTAGAATCCACATAATCCGCTCCCCTGGTTCCCAGGCCTTTTGATTCACACTGAATTACACGACCAGCTTCCCTGTGTCTCCAGCTTGCAAAGGCAGATCACTGGACTGCTCAACCTCCATAACCTCATGAGCCAATTCCTTAAAATAAACATCTTCCTATATGTTTACATATATCCTATTGGTTCTGCTTCTCTGGAGAACTCTGACTAACACACCCATCAAGAGATTCCTGGTCTAGACAACCCTGTGAGGGGATTTCTCCTGTCCTCCTGAGAATGAGGACAACTCCTTACATGCCACGCTAGAGACTCTTGAAGAACTCTGCCCTGTGTGGGCCATGGCTGCACAGTGGAGGCTGTAAAAACTAACCCTCCCTCCTCCTTTCCCTTCCTTCCTTCCTTCCTTTCACATTTCCTTTGTAATTCTGGAATATAATCCTACAGCAGATTCTCTACCATTTCCATACAGAATGCTCAGTGTTTGTAACATAGTGAGGCTGAATCAACCCAGAAATTGAGCTAGGAGCTCAAGTCCACACCTCATGACACAAAAGGGGCAGCCTTCTTCAAACTAACTGAGAATTCAAGGGGAAGGACGAGGCGAAGTCTGTGACTCCCCGTCCCCGGGCTCAGGAACCTTATTTCGTGAGCTGCCCGCTCTGAAAGGTCTCAAGTGCCTGTTCCAGTGGGAACGAACAGCTTCTCCAGGAAAAGAAAAAAATCCATCCTATCCTGTTGGAAAGTATGCTTCTTTCCTGACAGCCCCCCATCTGAGCCTGTTAGTGCAATTCTTGTGATAGTTCATTTAGGGTAAAAAAAAATCATTAAACACATGTCCCTGCAAACTGTGCTATATATAATATAGCAGGAAATTGAAATGCCCTTTGTTCTGGTCCAGAGGAGGGCAGCGTGAAGGGAGCTCTGAATTCTAACACCCCAGTCGTCCCGGCTGCCACTTAGGCCGGCGTTATGCGTTAATTTTCTGCAGCAACATATAGTATGTGAGGGAATACAGGGCTTTTATTGTCTGCCTCCCTAAATCTGTCCTGCTATAACTTAAAAAAGAAGTTACAGCATCTCTATAAAACTATTTGGTTTTAACTAGGTTGTTAAATTTGTTTGCTGAAGTCAGCTCTAAGGCGTGAAGAATTTCAATAGCACAGGGTGTCAGAGGTGAATTCTCCAGCCAGCGTGCGGCACCGGAGGAGATTTATTTCGCAAACTTTGCCAACCCCAAAAAGAGGATTATATGTTTGGGGAGATAGGGCGCCATCCTGTTAGTGATGTTCATTTAGATTTTTTTGACACCAAAGTGCATTAAGTCTCTTCGTAAATATTGACAAAAGTTTATTGCAAAGCATAAGCCCCAAAGTGGTGGTGGGGGGGGGGCTGGCAGATTGTGCCCCCAGGTGTGGCTTGTGCCTTTCCTGGGAAAGCGGGCTTCTCTCTCCTGTATGACATACACTGTCTGCTTTCATGCCTCCTAAAGAATTAGAAAACATTTAGAGTCAGCCCATCTGTATTTTTAATTCTGTTTCTCACAGTAGCTGTGTATTTGGTGGCAACTAAGATACATGGATGCTAAATCAATGATTTTTTTCCCCCTCCTGTGACTTATATTTGTGACATCGTAGCCATTTCAAGGATGCCAGACCCTTACAGCTGTTTATATGGGCCTGTCAAATTTATTTCTAAAAATTATTTTATTTAAACCAGTGGCTCTCAACCAAGGCCAATTTTGCCCTCCACCCCCAGGAGACATTTAACAATGTCACTTTTTGTTGTCACTCCTGGAGGAGAGGATATACTGGCACCTAAAGGATAGAGGCCAGGGATGCTGCCAGATTCCTGCAAGGCACAGGACAGCCCCACAACCAGGGATCATCCACCCAGAGTGGCAACAGGCCCCAGGGCCAGAAGCTCTGATACACCAATCACGAACTTTCCTTCTTACAGAAAATAAGAGGTAACGGTTCTCTGTAGTTGAGTGCTCAGAACACACCAGCACTTGCTGAGATTATCTGATTTAATCCTGCCGCTGTCAGAAACGGTCTTTTCTGTTATGACCTTAAAGTTTGCATTCTTCGAAATCCCAGCACCATCAAAAATTGTCAACGACCTCAGTATCTCTAAATGCAACCAAAAATGTTTCAACCTCATCTCACTTAACCCCTTGGGCAGCACTCAGCCCTGCCCCCCACGTTCCCACCTTAGAAACCCTCTCTGACTCTGTCCACCCACTACCTCTCCAGCTTTACCTCCCGTGCCATCTTCATAGAACTTCCCCCAGCCAGTCACCACCGGGGGTCCTCAAGGCTCAAGGCCAGCTCCTCCCTCCTCTCCTATGGGGCTCTTTGCTGCAAAGGCTCGGCCACACCTCAACTCAGAATGTATGATTGCAGCCCAAAGCTCTCTGCATTCCACATCCATCCTACTGCCTGGCTGTCCTCTCTGTAGGACAGCTCAAAGGAACTCAAACAAACCCCTGAAACGTAGCCTGAAACCATAATCTCCCCCTCCTAGTCCTCATCCTCTTCCAGCACCTCCTGGCTGGCTCGGGGAACGGCCCCCACGGACCCAGCTGTGGGTAGAGCCCACAGGTCATCCTTTACCCTTCAGGCTTCCCAATGGGCTGTAACCAAACCATCACCAAACCCTGCAGCTGACTTCCGAATTACTTTCAAATCCATCCACTTCTCTCCAGCCTCTATACCACACCCTTGCACAAATTGCCACTATCTCCAACTGGACCACTGCAGTAGACTCCACCAGACGTCTATACCCACTCAGCTCTCTCTGACCTGCAACCACAGTGATCCTACCAAATGCATATCGAGTCGTGATGGCCACCCTCACCCCAACCTGCCTACACACTCACGCACGTGCACACGCACTCATGCATGCAGGAACACGTACCACTTGAAGCCCATCACCAGCTTTCCAGTGCTCTTGAGACAAAACACAACTTCTGAACTTGGCCTACAAGACCCTCTATGTTCCGGTGCCCCCCATTCACTCTCTGCCCTCCAAACACACTGGCCCTTCATTCCCTCACACTTGCCTCACTCCCTCTGACCACAGGGCCTTTACTCACACTCTCCCTCTGCTGAAAGCACCCTTTCCTCCCCACTCCCCTCAGCTCTTACCCAGCCTTCAGATCTCAGCTCAACATCACTTCTCCTGGAAGCTTTACCCCATGACCTGTAATATCCCCTTAGAGCACATGCTCCAGCCTTTTTAAGCACTTGCTCAATTGCGATTTTGCATGTTTTATTTGTGACATTCTTTGGTTGTTTTCTCTATCTCCATTGACTATAAGCAACTTGAGGGCAGAGGAACCGAGGCCTTCGAGATGCTAAATAACTCAACCAAGGCCCATGAGTAAATGCAGGCACTATCTGACTCCAAAAGCCGCCATTCTCTTAATGACTGCCTGTTCCACGCCGTGGAATTGCAGTTAAGTTGTATAAATATCCAAACCCTGGTTTCATCTAAATATCACCTAAATAACAACTAGGCAAATCTTTTAAATACAGCAAATGAATTAACGAAAGACTTATGCTCCCCATTTACCTTCTTCAGATACTTGATCAACTTTTACAGTTTTCAAAATTTAAGAACTGGCTACCCAGGGAGAAAGACACCCACTTTTATGATTTTCCTTCTGATTAAGGATTGAGTCTCCACTTCACAGAACAGCACTATTTAATGGAGGTTCTCCTTCACTCTCCAGCTGGTCCCAAGAAGAATTGTTTCTGAGTCCGGTCTTTTTGCCACTCTCAGCATTTGTTTGAAAGTAAGGAAGCCACTCAGCCTCCAGGGCAGGCACACCTCTCATCTAAGATTGGACTGATGTGAAGGCCTTTTTGTATGTCAGTTTTACAAGGAGAAATGCTTTTAAAATAAGCCTTAGAGTGTCCCTTAATAAAAGGGTAATTGGCCGCCAGTAGTTACGCTCCACATAAGAACACGGAAAAGAACCACGGTGAGATCATGTTGTCTCCATAATGGAAAAGTGTAAAACCTCAGAAATATATACTTAATAAAGAAATAGGATAAAAAGGAAACACACCTCTTACAATGGAGCATACAGTAGTTGCCCCTTATCTGTGGGGATACTTTCCAAGACCCCCAGTGGATGCCTGAAACCTTGGATGGTACCAAACCCTATCTATACTATGTTTTTTCCTACACATGCATACCTATGATAAAGTTTAACTTATAAATTAGGCACAGTGAGAGACTAACAATAGCTAATAATAAAATAGAACAATTATAACAATATACTGTAATAAAAGTTACTATAGCTCTTAGCAACCTCAGCATGAGATATTTTTTCTTTCCTTAAGTTGAGAACTCTCACATTTTCACTTAAAGGAAGCGCTTTACAGCTTCCCTTCGGCATATCCGAATTGCCAGTATCATTACTCTTGCTCTTTTGGGCCATTATGAAGTAAAATGAGGGTGACTTGAACACAAGCGTTGGATATCTCAACAGTCTATCTGATAACGGAGCTGGCTACTAAGTGACTAATGGGTGGGTAGCGTATACAGCAGGGATCCGCTGGACAAAGGGATGATTCACATCCCAGGCAAGAGGGAGAGGGACATCGCGAGATGTCATCACGCTACTCAGAACAGCACACAATTTAAAACTTATGAATTATTTATTTCTGGAATTTTCCATTTAATATTTTTGGACCATGGTTGACTGCGGGTAACTGAAACCGCGGATGATGGGGCAGTACTGTATAGGAAAGTTAATCAAAGGCAGGATACTCAAGAAAATGTAAATTTTATGGTTTCAATAGGGAAGGTAATATGTGTCAACCATCCAGAGACCAACCCAAAATACAACCGTTCATTGCAAAGTGGTGAGTTAATAAATGGGTAGCTTTGTTCTAATTTTCCATCTTTAAAATTTAGGTTCATTGCAGTACACAGCTCAACATCTTAAAATGAACGCTAGAGAGGCTTTATTAAATTTTAGGCTGACTTTATTCATTTTGTTCTGCACTTAAAAATGTGAGATATATTTTGCCTAGCCCACAAATTACATTACCTGTTCGGTAGGAAATCAGTCTTCAATTATTTGTTTCCGGGACCACGATTAGATCCCATTTAATTGCTTTGAAAAGAATGCAGAGAGCAGGGCTCAGCTGTGCGCACTACTCTGTGAACCAGATGACCGACTTTGGGAGATGCCGTGGCTGACAGGTCCGGCGTTCGCACTTGTATGAAATTCTCGGGCTCTGCAGAGTGGGAACAAGCAGCCTCTCCGAAAATAGACAAGCCAGTTAAGCCCTTACTCACACTGCCTGCTCACAGATCTTTCTCCTCTCACTTCCTTTCCCTGCTTTCCCCCCCAGCACACAGGAGGAAGCTGGTGGCAGAATCCTTCTTTCAAACAGAGTCAACCAGACCCCGGCCAGAAGATCAGCTCTGCCCCTTAGCAGCAGAGTGGTCGGTTTACCTTTGCAGAGAGCCATTTCTTCATCACAAAGATGGAATCATGACAGTGGCCTCCCAAGGCTGTTGGTAGCAGGTGACCCAGGTGCAGCTCCCAGCACAGTGCCTGTCAGGTCCACCAGCCACCACCTTCGGTCACTTCTCCCAACTCTAAATTCACCTCAAGTCTGTCCAATGACCACTGGCTGAACCATCACCTCCCTAGACCAAAGCCCTCCTCTTGTCCCTCTCTCCCTGGGCTCTCCAGCAATCTTATGACCAAGGACTCTTCCTGCCTTCTACATATGTTGAGTTACAGGACCAGAATCACAGCAAGGCCAGGGTCCACTACTCCTGGATCATAAAGAGGCAGAAGTCTTCAGAATCAGCTCCTCACATGCCAGGAAGCAGCTGTTCTCCCAAAGAAAATAAGGTTCATCTCATAATAATATCCAAAGTGGTGCTCCCCAAATGCCACTTGGTGTATAATCTCACACAAGGTTCTGCACCCAAATTATGATTTGTTGAAAAGGCAATGTTTCTGCTACTGAATGATGCAATATCTTAGGCAGTCAGAGAAAAGATCTAGGCAAACATGTCATGGAAACTCCCTCCCAATTCCTGCGGATGGGGCCAGGGAGGAAGGGGGAGGGAGTCACAAGCCCACTTGCCTTAAGAGCCCTCCTATTATACAGCCTGGGTTCCCAGACGCACAAATGGAAGGGGAAAGGCTGAAATGGGAGGAGAGGGGAAAGAAGCAGGAGCTCACGTCTGCTGTGCAGGAGGGGAAGGAGGATGGGAGGAAACCCACCAAAATACCCTGCCAGATCCCAGGTTTATTGTGCAGCTGCCCTCAGCCTGCCCTCCCACCCCCACAGACCCCCACAGCCCTTTTTAGCAGTGATGGCTGACACTGCAGGCGACCTAGTTAGGTACAAGGACACACCCAGACACCTTGATTTTTCCTCTTCCTGTGACTCAAAATCTAATTTTTCCCTTCCTTTTAGAACTTTGAATGATGCTATTATTGAAACTTCTAATGATAGACACTTCCCAGCTCACAGATGCTGTCCCAACGACCTGAGCGAATCACAGCTCATTCAGAGGGGCATGTTATTCACCTGCTGTCAGTGATGGTTGCCAGGACTCCCCAGCAACATCAAACCAGCTGAGAATTCAAAACCAAGTGAAAAAAGCAACATACAAAATTCTGTCTGCACCAAGTTTGCAAAGATGTAAAGTATTGACCCATAGGGGAAGAAACTAACCATGAGGTAGAAGAGCAGATGTCTTAGGATGATGGGAGCACACATTCCTCCTTCATGAATTCTATAATACAATTGTATTACTTTTACAGTTCAGAGTTAACTTTAAAAATTGTAGGGGCCGGCCCCATGGCATAGTGGTTAAGTTCGGCATGCTCCACTTCGGCGACCTGGCTTCGTGGGTTCAGATCCCAGGAGCGGACCCACATCACTCGTCAGCCATGCTGTGGCAGCATCCCACATACAAAATAGAGGAAGATTGGCACAGATGTTAGCTCAGAGCAAATCTTCCTCAGCAAAAAAAAAAAACAAAACACAAACAAATAAATAAATAAATAAACATTGTAAGTGGTTAAAAAAAGACCCTCTTCTAAAAGTGCATTTGTTTGTTGATATTTTTTATTTCAGACTGTAATGTCCCATGGAAAAAATATTAGAAGACATGGTTCATTTTCCAGGCTGACTCACAAATGTCCTTTGACTCTGACTACAGTGATTTAACACTATTATGGGCCAGCCTGGAAACAAACTGCTGCATGGGCTTTTCACGTTGATTTCTTGGGAAAGACATTCTCCAACCGTGAGCCTCTCCCTCCTCCTCCCCCAGCTGCAGACAGGGCAGATGGAGCTTGAGGGAAGCCAGGCTGGCTGGTTTCTTGGGGTCCTGGCTGAAAGAGGAGGTGTCTGCAACCCACAGGGTGCAGAGCTGGAAGGCAGAGTGAAACCAGAAGTGCCGTGCGCCGGAGAGGACTTAGGCCAGGAAAGTGCTCTGAAACCAGAGCACCCAGTGAGAGGCCTGATACAGACTTGGGGTTGAACAGAGCCAAACAGAGATGAGAGGAGGGTTCTGTCTGGGAACAAGGAGGGGAGCTGTTAAATGACAGGCACTCTGGACTCCTCCTGAAAGTGGCGCTCCCTTGCCTGCCCTTGTAGCAAAACCTCAGCACATGCATCTGTGCATTTGGGCCCCGAAAATCCTGGAGCACCCTGCCCTGTGTCTGGGCCCCCACCCTCTCCCTGCAGTGGGGACGGAGGCAGGGCAGACCCATTCCTGAACTGGGGCCCCAAATGCAGCAGTCACTGGCTGCCCACTGGCAAGAAAACAGGACGACACCACAAGCAGGGCAGGAATACAGGAGGACACTGCAACCAGGACTTTTGTGCACCTTCATGCACCGCCTGTCCACAGAGGGACTCAGGGACTCTGGGCGTCCACCCACCCACCCACCCACGGAGTTCAGTCACTCCTTGGAAACGAATGTGGGGCCGTGTGTGCAGATGAGGGAGGAGGGGATTGTCTTTCACATCCACAGCCATCACCACTCTCAGTGTCAGGACCCCTCGGTGAGCTGGCCAGGCGAGGCCATTGCTCCAGGTGGCAGGGCTGCACCCCTGAAGCTGTGGCGTTCTGTGAAGGGAGAGGTGACCTCGGCCCCCGTCGCGGTGCGGGAGCAGGTCTCCCTTCAATGACTGCAGACTCTTTAACCACAAGCCTCTCCCTTCCTCCAAGACTCTCACAAGCTTGTTTCAGTAAGTTCTTCAGACACCATGTAGGGAAAGCTTAAACTCATTAAAGCAAATCTCCTTTCACCTGCTCCCTCCACCCAGGTTCCCGGTTGTGCTCCAACTGGCAATTGTAAATCATAGTTTCACCCAGTGTCTTTCGTCACTTGTCCTGGAAGTAAGTAGCACTGTTGCCCGTAGGTCCCTTGATAGTCAGCATACTCTTGAATGGGTAGCTTCTCTTTTTGAGTCAGCTAATAACAAAATCCCAGAAAGAGGGCACAGATATCCAGAGTCTCTGCTCAGCATCTGCTGGTTGGAAACTTGAACTCAGTCTCCCTTTCTAACGTATATTCTGCTCTGCCCTTTGGCTCAGACGTCCTCTGCTTGGAGTAGATGGAGAAAAATAAAACGGCCAGTGACTGTTGGGCAGTGGGCATCTGGTGTGAAACCCACGTGCTCTTCCTACAGAGATGAGCCCTGGCTCCGTCACTTTGGAGGCAGCCGATACTCAGTTACTCAGTTTAACCCAATACCCAGCATGCCTGACATGGAAATCAAGAGGGAAAAGGAAAATCTTCGGGGATTAATCAAGAGGGGGACTAACTATAGCCCTAACAGTTCCAAAAGAAATTGGCCCAGCCATCTCTTTTCAATGAAACTTACAGAAGTGTAAGGCTGTGTGTGGTGCTGGAGAGCTGCGTCACAGTGCCAGTGTGCCTGGGGTCTCCTTCAATTAAGTCACAGTTTGACCAGCAGCGTCTGAAACCAGGCCTAGGAGAAGAAGTAAAAGGAGATCATCTCCCTAGCAGCAAGTTCCCACACTGGAGCTCCGTTCAGCATTCCTGCCATTCCTCACCCCTCGTGCTAAGGCCACATCCGTTATCCCCGTCCACTGTGCTGGTTTGATCATCTCCTCTTACTTGCTCCCCTTCTGATGCTTTTCTGAGTATGCCTGTCTTTTGCTGTGAAACCCAGCTGTCCTCTCCT